CCCAATTTTCCCTCACTACCAACACAAATGCTTTTAGTCATCAACTGGTCTGAAAGATGTTACAGAAAATAATCTCTTTTTAAACTAAAGAGTCTCTAACAATAGCTTTTAAAGAAGGAAAAAGAAAAGGTATGTTAGATAATTGCCACGGTAACAGCTTTGGCATTTGTGTGTCTGAGAATGTGGAGGGAGGCTGCTTTACTTTCTCACCTTGCTTCTCATATTGCTGCATTCACAACTGTCTATGCCATCCATTTTTAAGCATACAAGAATGTCTGCACAAGTCTCCACCCCTGACACACACACACACATTTCCCACTACCTCCTAAGAGCAGAACAGATCAGGCAGCCTACTGTCCAAAGATGTTGCTAATAACAACTTTTTAATGCTATTTCCAGCATGTAATTTTAGCTTCCATAATTTTTATTAAGGTGTTTATGAAGCATTATTTTAGGGAAAGTGCTTAAGCAGTCATTCTCATTTCAGAAGCTGTTCTCATAATGGGCTTTTCACATTACAACACAGGGATGAAATGCAGAACAACTGCATGCTTAAAGGAATTTTTCCTATGGCATTTGGCCACGGCCTGGTCATCTTGCAAACTTCTGCATCTGATGAAAGGAAAGAAAAAACAGCACTTGAAAGACTTTGGGTTTTCATGCTGTAACCCTAACTCCAGTAGCGTCTGATGCCCTACAACTAATCACTGCCAGATAAGTGAAGGACTGCACTGTGCCTGTTTTCTGAAGGAATAAAAGATGTTTTCCCATTTCATTTCAATGTCAGTGCGTAGTGACAGCTCAGGGTTGTTCATAAGCTATTTGATTTCTCTAGTGATTTGAAACCCCCCTGGAGCAATCATATTTTTAAAAGATTCAGTGTCCCTGTGGTTTACAAGGATGGGTAGTCTAGACACAAAAATTAATTATACAAAAGTATGCCTACCAGATGTGGCGACTTGTGTCTGTAATTCCAACACTTAGGAGGGTGAGGCAGGAAAATTGCCAAGAGTTCAAGACCACTCTTAGCTATGTAGTGAGTTTCAGACCAGCTTGAACTACATGTGAGAACTTGTCTCAAGGAATAGGCAAAGAGAGAGGGGTACAAGAGAGAAATATGCTACATGTTTTTAATGCAGAAAGAACTAGACAGGCACATATTCGAGAGCAAAGCTCAGGAGCATTGTCTGCACAGAGGGATGCATAGATGTAAGACTCATGAGTTCTCTCTCTGTATTTCAACAAGAGTCACTTCAAAGCACTGGCAGAGATGAAGTTATTGTCTGCCAGGTATCTGGAGCAATCTTTCTCCTTGAAATGGTAGGCCGGACAACTAAATGGCCTAAAGGCAGTGTCCCCCTGGTTCTTCAGAATGATCTGAGGGTGGGTTGCTAAATTCTTGCACTTTATAATTCAGACATTGGTTCAGTCTTTGGTAAAGCATATATGCTGAATTTTTGTTAAGTATTTTAATGTAGTGCGTGTGTGCGTGCACTCACGCACATGTGTCATACTGAGAATGTGGATATTAGAAGAAAGCCTGTAGGAGCTGGTTCTCTTCTTCTGCCACCTGGGTCTCGAGGATACAATTCAAGGCATTAGACTTGATAGATGCCTTTACCCACTGGGCCATCTCAACCACCTTGCACACTGCTAATTTGATATTTACTGCTCTAAGTATGGAGCTCTGGACTGGAAGTGAGGAAACCCCAATTCTGATTCCATTGCTTCCATACCCTCCATGGGTAACCTTGATTGAATCACTTACCTTCTCTGGATCTCAGTTACATATCTAATTGACGAGGCTGAACTAGATGGTTGCTATAGTCTCCTCCAACTCTCTAAGATTGTTACAAAATATACAGAATAGTCCCTATTTTATCAATCTACTGAATAACTATGTCTTTGTTATTTAGCCTCACAATCTCTTATTTTCTATCAAAAAGAATCCACACTATATTAATCCTTTGATAGAGGAATGAGATGCAGCTGTTTCCAATTCCATAGCTAAGCCAAGTATTAATGTGTAATAGAACTTGGACCAAGTTAAAGTGCCACATTTTCCATCTCAATCATTTGAAATAAAAGATATGGTAAATACCCTTAGAATACTTTCATCTGTTCATGTAACCAAACTGGTTTAATCTCATTACCATTGAAGTTCATGGTGACAATATAAACATAAAATTATCTTATTCTGATGTCTTTGAAACCAAGGATTCCATACTCCGATTTCATTCTGAATAAACATGAATAATGAATGCATCCCTTCTCACTAAGATAGAAACAAAACCATAATGGCAAAGAATAACATGTTAAAGAGAATATTTTGAAGTATTAGTCAGATTTAAAAATATCTTAATTCTTTATGAAAGCTATACTGTGGAGAAAGAAATACTCTTATTTATTAATGATAAGAATGTAAATAAATTTTTAAATTTTACTAATACATGCATGTAGCAACAATTAATGAAAGAGAGGACATGAACTTGAATGAGAGCAAGGAAGGGTATATGGTTTGGAGGGAGAAAAGGGAAGGGGAACTGTAAATGTATTATAATATCAAAAATAAAAGAAACAATAAGAAAGAGGCATATCTTTTAACCTGACAATTCCAAATGAGGAAATTGATTCTACAATTTTTTTGTTTTGATTTTTGAAACAGGGTTTCTCTGTGTATCCTTGGCTGTCCTGGAACTCACTCTGTAGACCTCAAACTAGCCTCAACCTCAGAGATCCACCTGCCTCTGCTTCCCAAGTAAAAGTGTGCATCACTACCATCTGGTTAATTTTATAGATGTTCTTTATACATATGCAGATAACATGTATATAAAATATTAATGGAATCACTATTTGTCCTAGCAAGAGAAAGCAAAATTCAAATTTATAATAAAGACAGTCTGGTTCAGTAGATTATATATGACATCTTTGCAACAGAATCCATGCAACTTTTTATTGCTTGAGAATTTTATAATGAATACAATGTGTTTCAATAAAATCTGCCTCCCATTCCAACTTTTTATATCACTTTCCAATCTTTCCTTCCGTCTTCATGTACTCTTTTAAAAAAGCTGAGTATAATCTTTACTACCTGGGTGCTCATAAGTGTAGGGTCACCCATTGGAACATGAACATGTCTATCAAGGACCATATTCCTAAAGAAAATTGACTTTTGCTCCTTCAGCAGCCACCAACTGCTAGTAGCCCCTCAGCTAAGTGGTGGGACCTGTTGGGCCTCTCCCCAGTACATGCTGGGATTTTGGATGGCTTAATCACAGAGGCAGTTGCAGCCTCTGTGAGTTCTTATATTCAACAGTTTTCTGTGTCCAGAAAACAATATTTTGGAGATATCCTCCCCAACTTTAACTCTAAAAATCTTTCTGCACCCCCCCCCATGACAGTCCCTCAGCCTTGGCAGAAAGGGGAAAATGATATAAGGGTCCCATTTAGGGCTGGTCACTTCACTGAGACTTATTTAGGAAAGAGAAAGTTCACTCTTTCCAAGTTATATAATGTGAAATGATTTCCAAATGAAGTAAAAAAGAAATATGTTGCAAAACACTGTGTACAGCCTACTTCTCTGTGTATGGCAAAGTACACTGGGTTATTTTAGAAATATAAAATCTGAGGTCACGGCTTATAACATTGGTTGTTGACAGAGACTGTAACTGAAAAAGACGGGGATTTCACTATATAATTTTCTCTACCTCAAATTTCAAAATGTATGAACTTTAACATTTCACAAAAAAGACAGTTAAATTTTAGATGTTGTAGAGATGATATGTTTATTGTGTGCATGTATTTATATAAATATTTAAACATGAGAAAATCTAGAATAATTCACATCATTGACATGAACAGGCAAGAAGTGAGAGGCATATGTGGAGTACACATTTGTCTTTTACTCTGTGTTTCTGGAATTTTAAAATGAGATTTCATCATCTCCCACCTAAAAGGTCTTGTATTTAGAGACTGGGACTGAAAGCGTAGCTAAATGAGAGGCTGAACCTTGCTAATTAGGTCTTGAATTATTTCATTCTCTTGAGTCTCTTTAATGGACTGAATTAAAACCATGCCATTCAAGGGCTTGGAATGAAACACTGAAGTGACTTTCCGTCTTGTAACCAGCTCGGTGGAGAATACCGAAACTGAGCGGTATAAAAGGCAAAAAGTATGAGAAGATGGGCAGTCATGCGTTCATCTGTTTTAGAGGCACAGCTTATGCTTTCTAACTGTGTAGTCAATGAAACTACTGAAAATGACTTTGGGCTTAGAGTCAGTAGTCCTGTTTTTAATGCCAGACTACATTACAGGCTGTGTGACCTTGATTAACCAACTATCTATCTTTGACAGATAATCACCTGCCTTCTGCCATTATCTTTCTCAACAATGTTACTGAGAAAATAAAATGAGGTGACATATTAAAGTCTGCTTTGGGCTGGCCAGATGCTTCAGTGTGTAAAGGTGCTGCCAGACAAGGCTGATGGACTGCATTCTATCCCTAGAACCCATATGCAGAAGGAGAGGACTGACTCTTACAAGTTGTCCTCTGAATGCCACATGTGCGCTGTAGCATGCACACACACACACACACACACGCACATAAGCACGTGCATGCTTAATTAAATTTTTTTGAAAAAGCATATTGTAAACTCTAATGAAGTGCAAATTGTATCGTAGTATTTTAGCACCCATGGTGACAGACATAATGAAAACTGGCTAAAATAGCATCTCATATATTGTCACAAAGGCCAGTTCCTCTCTTTACTCGAAGAATCACATGACAGCTTTAAAAGGATATAATTTCCAGAAAATCTCTGGTACAAAATTTGGTGTTTTGCATGTATTCTTATCTCTGCATGGGAAAATGGTAGCAATCAACATTTCATAATAATACTACGGAGTATATAATAGGAGAAAAAGATAGACATTTGTCGCTTAGTTTTATTCTTTTGAACTCTGAAGATGGATTACAAGTTTAAACTTTGTTTGAATTTCAGTTATCTACCTCCTACTCTATCATGCCATTTTTGTGTTCTTTGCATGGACCTACTGGAAGTCTATCTTCACACTCCCACAGCAGCCAAACCAGAAGGTAAGAGGATTTGTTGCTTCACAAAGTTAAGAACAAAAGAATCTAAAGATAACAACAAAACAAGAACAGGACAAAAGGAGAAAAAAAAACCTTCCTATTAAAAGAAACTCAGGCTGTTTTGTCTTTGTTTTTTCAAGTAAGGTCCCACTGTGTTGCCCAAGCTGGCCTTGAACTAACCTCCAGAGACCCTGTCTCACCCTCTCCTGAATAGCCAGGACTATAGTGGCATACCACCTAGCTCAGCTAAGGGAAAGCTGTAAGGGATTCATTCAGAGGAATTAAGGGTAGAATTGGCTATTGAAGGAGTTTGTGAATTCACCAGACTTGGGTATCTTTAAGACTAGGATACCACTATCTGCAGTGGAAATCTTATTAAAACAAGAAGCTGCTTTGATTTTTCAATTATTTTATTACTTTAAAAAAATACCACTCCAAATTCCCACTCCCTCCCCTCCTCCACTCCCTTCACGCACCCTTCCGTCCTTCCCCTCCAATCCTAAGAGAGGACAAGGCACCATGCCCTGTAGTAAGTACAAGGCCCTCCCTACTATCTAGGTTGATCGTGGAAGAAGGACATATATGAGAGCAAGGAAAGAGATATCTTGATTGAGGGAGTCATTATGGGGTTAGCAAGAAAACTGGGATTTGTCTCTGCCACTTTGATTTTGAGACCTCATCTAGTTCAGTTCTATGAAATTGTATTATTTTTCCGGGCGGTGGTGGCTCATGCCTTTAATCCCAGCACTCGGGAGGTAGAGATAGGTGAGTTTCTGTGAGTTCGAGGCCAGCCCGGTCTATAGAGCGAGTTCCAGGACAGGCTCCAAAGCTACAGAGAAACCCTATCTCGAAAAAAAAAAAAGAAAGAAAAGAAAAGAAAAAAACAAAGAAAGAAAGAAAGGAAGGAAGGAAGGAAGGAAGAAAGAAAGAAAGAAAGAAAGAAAGAAAGAAAGAAAGAAAGAAACTGTATTATTTTAAAATAGTACTCAGCAAGAAACTAGAAGGGGCAAGGCTAAGAAAAATTCAATAGTTAATCCAACCCATTTTATCTGTGTTACCTTGAATCCACTTTTTTTCTTGCAGTATTTGAAAAAATTCAGAAAAGTGGTTACCTTAGGAATTTATTGTCTGTAACTGCTTTAAAACAAATTAGATTTGGAAGTAGAAAAAAAAAAAAAACAATGGGAGAGAGCTTACCAAAGCTATTAACACAGGAAAAAATATTATTTTATAGTATCTCCTACATGGCCAAAGTAATACAAAAGAAAAAATTTAAAGGCCAGAGAAAGATAGTAACACAGAAAGAAAATAATGGGCCAAAATGGCTAGTATCTTTTCTACAAAATACTTAAAATATAAATGCATTAATTTATCCATTTAAAAGACTGAAATTTCTGGACATGGTCACTTATCTTGTAATCCCAGAATTCTAGAGGCTGAGTTAGGAGTATTGCCACAAATTTGAGGCCAGCCTGGGATATAGAGTAAGACTTTATCTTAAACAATAGTAAATAACACTTAAAATATTATGGAACACACCTTTAATACCAGCACTCTAAAGCATAGGTAGGTATATGTCTGTGAACTTGGGTCCAGCATACACTACATAGAGAGTTCCATGGCTAGAGTTACATAATGAGACCATTGCAAGAAACTATATTATAAAAGCCTGAGATTAACTAGATTGATATCAGACCATATATATGTATATGATATATATCATATATATTATATATACATGATTTCAGTCTAGTTAAAATATATTTGTTCTATCTATAATAGAGTTACCATTGGTATCAAAGACATAAACAGGTTGACAATAAATGATTAGAAAAATATAAGCAAATATTAATCAAAAAAAAGCAAGGGTATCTATGCTAATTTCAAACATGAGACTACATAGGAAAGAAAGGCAGGGAAGGAGGGAAGAGAGGGACTGGGATTGTTGCTCAGAAAATCAGTATCTGTGAGGCTCTGTGATCCATCACAACACAAATATTTCTAACAGAGTTAAGTCAAACATAAGAGAAAAAGAAATACGATATATATTGATAAATGGGTCAATGTGCTAAATATGGGTCTGTGGTAGAGCATTTGACTAGCAGGTTGTTGAATTCGATCTCCCGCCTCACAAAAAAAGTTAAAGAGTCAGTTCACCAATATGTTAAAGCTATTTTAAAAATGAACCTGAAAAATAGAAGCAAAACCTGGGAAAATTCTGTTCTGCAATCATAGTTAAAAAGACATCAATTCTACATTTTCAGTCGTGTATAGAACAAGTAGAAGATCAAAAGTAAATGAAGAATCTGGGAGTATACCTATAAAGCAATCTATACCCCCCCCAAAATAGCAGAATATACATTGTTCCAAGTTGCATATTGAACATTTTCCAGTATAGACAATCTGTTGGGCCACCAAAGAAGTTCATATATTTAAAACATTGAAACCATACCAAGTATTTTCTCTAAGTACAGTGGGATAAAGCTAGAAATTAATAAGACAAAGCTACAAATTCACAAGTGTGGGGGAATGATTAATTTTATTATTTCTTGGACTATTCCATATACTGCATTTTGAGTGTATTCACTCCCACCCCAGGACCTCCCGGACCTTTCCCCCTTCCCCTATCCACCCAACTTTGTGTCCTCAAACTCTTCCATACTTAAAAAAGCCGTCTGGTCCATTTGTGCTACCCATGTACTACTCCTTAGTGTTTGAGTGTTCACTAGAAGGTATTCAACCTACCAAGGGCCACACCCTTACAACTGATTTCCCCCTCTTAGAAGCTATCAGTTACCAATATCTCCTCAGCTGCAGATAGGACTTCTTACTCCACTCCTTTCTCCAAGCTGGAATTTTGTCTGTCTTGAGATTTCACAGTCTTGTGTATGCCACCAGAAGAGCTGTGAGTTCATTTGTGCAGTGACCCTGTTGAGTGTGTGAGATTGCTGCTTTAATGTGTGTATCCCCTTGTACACAGGCTCTTACAGTCTTTCTGTGCGCTCTTCTTCACTGACCCCTGAGCCTTGGGAGATGAGGGTGTAATATAGATGTTCATTTAGGGCTGAGAATTTTGCGGTCTCTTATTTTCTGCACATTGACCATTAAGTATACTCTGAACCAATGGATTGAATAAGAAATTATAGGAAAAAATTAAAAATACTTTGAGGGTAATGAAAATGAGACGTGGCATAATAAAAACTGTAGGAGGTGATCAAGCAGTGCTCGCAGGAAAATTTATAACTGGAAACGCATTTAAAAGAATAAACATCTCAATAATCTATTTTGATGTTTTAGAGAACTGTTTAATGAAGAGTAGAAAGCCAAACATCAAAGAAAAGAAAGACAAGAAAATTAGCAGAATGAAAATAAACCAAACAGTAAGAAGACCACCCAAAGTGTTAAAGAAAGTATTTTCATACATCTCTTGTATCCAGTGCTCAGAATACATAAAGATTCTTATAATTCAGCAACTAAAGATAACCCAGTTGTAAAATACAGAAAGGTCTTATCTAGCTATTTCTCTCCAAATAATATATACAATTTTCTGTTAAGGACATGAAAAGTTTATGAGCACCACTACTAATTTAAGGAAATACAAATCTAGACACCAAAACCACCAAGAAGGAAACCATTAAGTGAATGAACAGATGAATGAATGAAAGATAGCATATATTGGTAAGAATGCAAAGAATTCACAATTCTTCCAAATTTGACTAGAAATATAAAATGGTAGATTGTAGTTAGGCTGTTTTTCTCTTGGGGGGGCTTGCTACCCAGCTCCCAAATAACACATGGAGACTAATTCTTACTTATGAATGTCAGGCCTTAGCTTGACTTGTTTCTAGCCAGCTTTTGTAACTCAGATTATTCTGTTTCTCCTTAACTACATTTTGCCTCTGGGCTTTTTACCTTTCTTTATTCCATATATCTTTCTTTCCTTCTTAGTCCATGGCTGGCTGTGTGGCGCTGTGACTGACCCCTGGTGTCCTCTTTTCCTTCTCTTCTTCTCTGTACTCACTCTTCTTTCAATCCTAGATTTCTCCTACTTATTCTCTCTGACTGGCAACCCCACCTATCCCTCTCCTGCCTGGATATTGGCCATTCAGCTCTTTATTAGACCAATCAGGTGTTTTAGACAGGCAAAGTAACAGAGCTTCACAGAGTTAAACAATTGCAACATAAAAGAATGCAGCACATCTTGCATCATTAGACAAATATTCACATCATAAATGAATGGAACACATCCTAAACCAGTATTCCACAACAGTATATCTGCTATGCAAAATACCTATACTTTTCCTCATAAGGTTAAATGAGGAGTTACCATGTGACCCAAAAGTTCCATTCATGGGTATATACTCAAAATAATTAAAAGTGAGCATTCAAGTAAATACATATTTGCAAATCTTTATGGCAACAGTAAGCACTATAGCCAAAAGATTGAAATGACCCAAATATTCATCCTTGGAAAAATAGATGGAGGAAGTATTGTATGTCTTCCTTATGTATCAGTATGTCTGTATGTATACTGTATATGCACACATGCCAGAATACCATTGGCTATAAAAGGGAATGCAGTACTGACATATGATATAACATAGATGTACCTTGAAATATGGTAATTGAAAGACACCAAACACCCAAGGCCATACTGTTTTGAAGGCAAATTCATAGACAGAGATCCATACAGCAGATACTGGTTGTAATCTGCCTAGAGATAAAGGAATAAAAAAATGACAGCTTAGTAAGTAAAGGATTTCCTCTTGGAGTGATTAAATGTTTTGGAACTAGGTAGTTTTTTTGCACCACAGCATGAATAAGTTAAATGCTGCAAAATTGTGCAGTATAAAATGTACCTTATAAATAAAATACCATGTTATATTAATTTTAGCTTAATAAAAATTAAGTATCCCCTTCATGTTATGTATGAAAGCTTTTAGGTCAGTAGAAAGGCTAAGTGGCTGAGAATTTTATAGACCTAAACTTGATGAAATAATGGTAGGTTTTAATCAAGTACTGCAAATGCCTAATGCTTATGACTACGTCTTTATCATTTTCAATTTGTAAAAAAGGGAAGGAGAGTTCTTTGGGTCTACTTAATAGCCACAATATTAATTTGTGTAATGATCACAACATTCCAATCTGTCATTAGTTGTCTCATCCAGAATGCTCTTCTTAGCTCGCTGCTTTATAATCCTTAATAAGGCTTAGTTAGTGCCAGAAATATGCTCTCTGCCAGACATCTTGTTCTAAACTATTTGTTGAGTGACCACAGTGTGTTTATCACATCTAAATGGAAACAACTTCTGCTTGTGCCCTTCAAGTAGTGCAGGGTCCTATGAGAAAGTCACAGTCACCGGATACCTCAAAGATTAAAGCACTGCCACAAGGCACTACGTTCAATTATCAAAATTTAAATGAAAATCTAAAAAAATGCATTTTAATGTTAGTATAATTGTATTTAACAAAATAAAGAGATTTTGTTTTTATCAATTTATAATATTTACTTAAGGCATTCTTATTAGGATGCATCTACCTAGTGCACAGCAGAACTCAGGGCTAAGAATTAAATGCTTATAAATGTACCATATTTATTGTGACAGCTTCAAATGCCTTTCCACATATCCTCTGGAGGCCATTTAATTCTCACTCTGATTAAGAATGGCAATAAATGCGCCCTGGGTATGGGTCTATTTTAAATTCACTTTTTATTTTTTTAACATTTATTTAGTGCATGTGTGTGCGTATGTATGTATGTACATGCACACACCTAGTCTGATCATTCTTGTATATGTCTTTTGGCATATTTAAATGCATGTTTCACTCACACACTTTTATTTATGTTGGCTGTATAACTAGGGGTGGAATTGCTAGGTCATAGTGTGGACATGCATTTAACTTGAAATCATACATAAGTTTTCCAAACTGGATGTATAAATCCACACTCTTACCAAGATCTTCTGTCCCTCAAACTATACCATAAAAGGACTGAAAGAAAGGTACAGATTGTTAGAAAAATATTCAACAAAAAGTAGAATCTATAATATATGAAAGATTGCCACAATTCAGCATAAAGTGACAATAACCTGATTTTTTTCATTTTTGTTAGTTGTTTGAGAATTTCATACAAGTGTGATCATATTTACTACCTCCCATATTCCTCCCAGAGCCATCATCCCTGACCTACCCACCCACTCACTCATTTCCTCTTTTTATTAAACCCACCAAGTATAGCTTATGTTACTCATATATTCTTGCATGTGTGGCCTTCACTGGACCATGACCAACCCATCAGAGACCTCATCCTCAATGGAAACTGACTAAAAACCTAATTATTGTAGTGAACAAAATACTCAAATAGGCGTTTCAAGAGAATACCCAAATGGCCCAATGAAGTCATGAATAGATGTTCATTATCACTAGTAGCTGTGAATGTACTGAGTGAAAGCACAGTAGGTACAATATAGTACCTTGATCCTGCCTCAAGTCATGTGACAGATTTTGTTGACTCCCCATGGGAGGCCTCACCCTCTCTGAGGAATGGATGGGGGTGGGGTGGGAAGAGGGTAGGGGGAAGTGGGAGAATGGGAAGGAGAGGGAACTGGAATTGGTTTGCAAAATAAGATTGTTTTAAAACTAAAAAAGAATTAAAATTCAAATGACTGGAATATCAAATAGATTTAAATAATTAATAATTGGAGTTCTAAATGATACTTTGAGTTACTTGTTATTATCCAGCAATTTTGCACCAATCTTCTGAAGTATGTATTATTTCCTTTATTTTACAGGGTGAAAGTTTAGATCAAGAATGTCTAATTTTCCAAAGTGATTTCCTATTTTATGTTCATGATAATAAGGTTTAAACCGGAAATTCCCACGATAGAGCCTTTCCTTTTTCACCTCTGCTACCCTTTTGTGTAGACTAAAGAAAAGTTTTCAGATCCATATTACTTGGAAAAAATAATTGGGCTTTCTTAGGCAAGATTAGCAAAATATAGCATTAAATTGGCAAAAAAAATATTCTGTGCCAACTAGTGATGTATCCAAATTTCTACCCATTTGCAAAATTATAATTATGCAGGCAATATCACAAGCCGTTTCGTCCAGCTTTCCTGCAAGTGTCATCAGCATTATGAACCTGTGAAAGAGCAATTGACACTCAATAAGTCTGCCTACTCATTGATGGGATCCTGGCAGCAATGTATTACACAACTGTATATACCATCATACATGGTATAATGGAGTGGAAAGCGTGTAAGTATTGGAATTACATTAGTGCATTCAGGACCAGCTTTGCTACTTATAAGTTGATTGAGTGCAACAATAAATAAGATACTTAATTTGTCTAAGCATTCTGGGGTTTTTTGTTATTTAAAAAAGAATGCCACCTATCTCATAAGATTCTTAGCCAAAGAAATGTATAAGACAAATTGGTATTTGGAGTTCAAAGACAGATAATAAATATTTTCATTTAGGTAGTTATGGTTGCTTTTAATCTTTTCTGGGAACCTGAGAAAGTAAATCCTTGCCTGTTTTGCTTCCAGTTCCACTTGTCCTATGCAGACAAGGAACGCTATGAAAATGAAGAGAGACCTGAGGTCCAGAAGCAGATCCTTGTGGATATGGCCAAGAAGCTACCAGTGTACACAAGGACCGGGAGTGGAGGTCAGTTCATCATCTCAGTTGGGAGAGTCAGCTAGCAGGAATGTAAGGAACAGGTCATCTGTGCTAGCAGGCTAGCGTCCCTTTTCTCCCATCTCTTCAAACTCACATTTCATTAGAAAACCTTTCAAACAACTATCAGAGCTGGAAGAATTGTAAGTAGCTGTAATACCCTGGGTTCTACCACTAACATCTTATTGTACAGCTTTATCACATTCCTGTCCTTATATTCCAACCCTCCTTCTGTTTTCCATTGGATCATCTTATTTTTTTCTATTCATTTAAAAACAAAGAGCAAACATCAGTATATAGCCACCAAATATGTATTCTTTTGTGAGTAAAATTTGCATATGAAACATGCAAAAATCTTAAGTGTACAGTTCAACAAGCTTTGAAAATTATACATGCCTGTAATCAAAGCTGCTAAAAAAAATTACCATCACTCCGAGAAGTTCTGCCATACCCCTGCCCAGTCAATTCTCACACATACATACAATGATTACTCTGATAATTTTGCCTGCTCTAGAATTTTTTATAAGTGGATGGAACCAAGTATGCACCCTTTTAATCAGCATAATATTTGTGATATTCATTCATATTACTGTGTATTTCATTCTTTGTATTGCTTAGTAGTAATACATTGTATGAATATAACAGCTTGGTTATCTACTCAGTGGCTGATACACATTTGGGTTGTTTCCAATGCTTAGCTAGTATGAATCAGTTTGCTATGAACATCCTTATAGTAATAAAAAAAAAAAGGAAGTTGAATCACCATTTCTGTGGTTAAATAAATACACTTGGAGGAGTTTTCCTCTCGGATTTCATTTGGATGAATAAAGTCGTACTTGCAGAGATGGCTCTCCATCTTTGAAGGTTTGGAAAGCAAAGCCCTTCTGCTGCATCGTGCTTTGGAAAGGGTGCTGTCAGGCACTTGGTTCATTTCTTCACCATTTGCTAACTCAGCAGCTATCTGTTAAGAGGCAATGTGACAGGTGAGGAAATTTTAATCAGCAAACATTAAGGACTTAATTTTATTAGAGAGGTAATGTCATAGTAGTTATTATTTTTCAAAGTATTCATGCACACTAAAATATCTGTGATTGTTTCAGTATTTGTCTTAAATGCTGAAGTAACAGAGCCAGGGGAAGGAGCAGAATAGAGAAAAATGGGACATTCTCGAACTTGTTGACTTTAGGTATTGATACATGTGGTTCATTGTACTCTTAACCCTATGTCAGTGGATGTTTGAAAATAGTGATGACTGATTTTTGTTGTCATCTTAATTGGATTAAGAAAAGCATAGAGTAGAGTGTGGTGGTGTACACCTTTAATCCCAGCACTTGGGAGGAAGAGGTAGGTGAATCTCTGTGAATTTGAGGCTAGCCCCTCTTCAGAACAAGCTCCAAGCCAGCCAAGGCTACATAGTGAACCTATCTTGAAAAAAGAGGAGGGTGCAGAGCAAGGCACAGTACTATGGTGCACCTTGGGCATGACTCTGGGGGCTCGTACAGACCTGCTCTGAATATGAATGGCACAATCCTATGAGCTGGTGTCCCATGCTGAATAAAAAGAGAAAAGGAGAAAAAAGCCACTGTGGATTTCTCTTTCTTTGTCCCCTGGTCCACTCACCACTATAGCCATGTGCCATTCCTTCTCCATGCATTCCCTTCCTTGCTGGACGATATCCCTTTAAGCCAGAATCTGTAATGAATCTATCTTCTCTTGAGTTGTTTTATCAAGGTATTTTATCACACAGATAAGAAAAGTAGCTAATGAAAAACTTCCATGATACTAATTTTTAAAGTGATTGATAGGCACAAGACACTGGTCCAAGTTATAGGAATACAGATCTAGATAGGCCAGGTCTCTTATGGAGCAGAAATTCTTTCTTTATTAAATTACATCATTGCATCATTTCCCCCTTTTCCATTCTAACCCTTTTCATGCAGCCCCTTGCTTTCTCTCAGATATGTGACTTCTATTTCTTTAATTGTATAAGCGTGCACGTGTGTGTATTGGTGTAGGAGGTCCTTCTGTATTTGCATTGCTTTCATTGGTTGAATAAAGAAACTGCCTTGGCCTTTTGATAGGGCAGCCCTTAGGTGGGTGGAGCAGACAGAACTGAAAGCTGGGAAGAAGGGCAGAGTGGCAAGACACCTGCCCAAGACGGATGCTGGTTAGATTCATGCCGGTAAGCCACTACCTCGTGGTGAGCACAGATTAATAGAAATGGGTTAGATCAAGATGTGAGAGTTAGCCAATAAGAGGCTAGATCTTATGGGCCAAGCAGTAATTTAATTAATACAATTCCTGTGTGGTTATTTCAGGCATAAGCTAGCCGGGTGGGATGAACAAAGGGCCCGTTCTCTCCTACTACAGTGTATGTGTGTGTGTACCTAAATATGTAAATACAACCGGCGCCTTCCATACAATGATACTTGTATGTATATGATTTCAGGGCAGAACACTTGGTAGTGGCTAGCCAGTTGATGTTCTCTTCTCCAGGGAAGACTATTTCTCCTGTTCTCAGCATTTCTTAGTTGCCTGTAGTTCTTTGTTTATGGTTGAAGCCCCATATGATTTTCTCCTTCCATGTTAGCATGTTGTCCTTGTTCGGGTTTTGTTTAGGCAGTCCTGCTGATGAGATTTCATGGACATAGCTACCCTGACATTTTTCGAAGAGACACACAGTCTCACAGCAGACTTCCTTTTCCTGTATATTACAATCTTTCTGTCATCCCTTCTGTAAAGTTCCCTGAACTTTTAGTCCAGGAGTTGTATTACAGACATATCACTTGGGACTGAGCTCCACAACTCTGCATTTTGATCAGTTGTGCTTTTTCTGTAACATTCTCTGTCTGTGGCACAGAGGTAGTTCATTGATGAGGGTTGAGAAGTATGCACATCTGTGGATATAAGAATAAATATTTAGGATGAAGTTAGGAAATATGCTGGTTTAGTAAAGTAGAAGTTTGTAGGTTCTCCTTCATGATCCGTGGTCATTAGCCCTGGGTTGGTGGATAGGTTCTCAGTACTAGGTATGATTTCACTCTTGTTGAGTAGGTCTTAAGTCTAATTAGAGAGCTACTGGTTAGTGCAAAAGTATGCATGTCACTACTGCACCCTTAGGGTTTTATGCCATGCTAGTCATTATTGTAGTTAATAGATACTATAGTAGGCTAGGACTCTTGTTTGCTTCCTTCCCTTGGAAACTTGCATGGTACCAGAAGCTGGTCTTCATGCAGGAGGCAGAGACTTTCAGGTCAAATCCAGTTTGAATCTTCTGAGTCCTATATGGCTTCTTCAGCAATAGGGACTTGCCTTAAACCTTTGGGAAGCAAACAATGGCAAGATCTGTAGCCTATGATGTTTTGAGAGTCTCTTGGACAACCCTGACAACAACTCAGGAGGGGTTCTTATACTTAGCCTTGAAGTTTTTATTAGACAATCTATGGCTCAAGGGGTGCGTTATATGTCCAGTTGGGAAATTTTCATTTAAACCCTCTACACACACATATAGAAAGAGACTTCTATGTATTATATGTAATGTTAGATAAATAATAATATAATTCTTTATGGCTTTTTCAGATGTCCTTCATATTAGTTTTACCTCCCTCTCCTTCTGTATTGATCTCCCTTCTTATTAGAATTATGTTGGCTTTGGTTCTCATACATATTTTTTATTATACTGATGTATGTTCCCTCTAGTTCTCTTCTCTCTAGGACTTTTATCATGAAGATATGATAGACTTTGTCAAAGACTTTTTTGACATACATTGAAATAATAATGTGATTTTTATTTTTAAGTTCACTTAGGTGGTTTATCACATTTATTGACTTATGTATGTTATACCATACCTTCATCGGGGGGATAAAATCAACTTGGTCAGGGTGGGCAATCTCTCTGATGTATGTCTGTATTCTATTTGTAAATATTTTATTTATGATTTTTTGAATCTACATTCATCAGGGAATTTGGCCTGTAGGAGTGTTTTTATTTTTGGGGGGGTGCTTTTGCTTAGTTTTTGTAATACATAAATACTAACTTCCTAAAAGAAGTTTCCTTCTGTTTCCATTTTTTGAATAATTTAAAAATTACTGCCTATAGATCTTGAAAGTCTGGTAGAATTCTCCTGTGAGTAGTCCATATGGGTTTGAACTTTTTTTTTTTTTAATGACAGAAGGCTTACTGTTTCAATCTCCTTGTTTAGTATAGGTTGTTGATCTCTTCTTGATTTAATTTTGATAATTTGGATGAATCAAGAAATTTATTTATCCCTTTAAGATTTTTCTAACTTAATGGAGTAAATATTTTAAGGTATTCCTTTATAATATTCTGAATTCATTTGGGTTTTTTATATTTTTCTGTTTCTTTCTAATTTGGCTTGTATATTTCTCTGTTTTGTTTAGTTGGACCAAGGATCTGTCAATCTTTTTTATGTTCTCAAAGAATCAGCTCTTAGATTCATTGATTCTTTCTAAATTTTTTGCTTTTATTTTATTAGTTTCTGCTGTGATTTTTATTATTTATCCATAGACTGGGTTTGGGTTTGATTTGTTCTTGTTTTTCCAAATTTGTGAGTTATATCAGTAAGTTATTTACTTCTGCTCTTTCTTATTTTTTAAATTGGGGTTTATTTTTATGAAGATTTTTCGATGTAGGCACTTAAAGCTATAAATTTCCATTTTACGGTTACTTGTGAAACATCTCAGATGTTTTTGTGTTGTGTTTTCATTTTCATTTAGTTCCAAGAAAATTTTTTTTATTTCTCGATTGACCCACTCATTCAGTAATGAGTTGTTTAATATCCATAAGTTTGTGTATTTACTAGAATTTGCTGTTAATTTTAAGTTTTATTGTATCATGGTAAGATATACATGAAGTTTTTTTAGTGTTTCTGAACTCGTTAGGATTTGTTATGTGGTTTGTGATGTGGTCTGTTATAGAGGGGTTTCCATGGGATGCTGAGTAGACTATGTATCCTCTGGTGTTTGTGTAG